CTAAAAGTATTAGTTTTCTAAAGTCACACAACAGTTTACTGTGGCAGGCTAAAGGACTACGTTCATATTAATGCTTTAAGTGCACATAAAAAACTATTAGAAAATATAAACTATGATGGTCTTTACTGGTACTAGGGAACACAGCAATCTTTCTAAAAATATGTTTATTAAAATGGTTTAAAAGAAAAAACAAAATATCATAATTGTTACTAGTCATTAAAACCTATACATGGCCATTACTCACACATGCAAAACAATCTTCCTCCTAGACATGATGTTTTTCAAGAGTAGTGGACACACTTTGGATGGGAACACCGAGCATGACAGGTTGTTGGAAACAGCACTAATATACTTACCTTGCTTGGATGGGATGTGGAGGGTGTGTGTGTGTGTGTGTGTGTGTGTGTGTATATATATATATAAATAAAATGGGATGTTGGTACATAGCAGAGACACCAAACTGAGATATGCAAGAAAGATACCATCAGAGAAAGAAAAGTTTTTATCTAAAGTCACCATGGCCACAATACCATGCTTCATGCTTGGTCTGATCAATCATTCAATTGTGATCTTCTGAACATGGCAATAACTTTTTTTCACCCAAAAATTCTAAGGTTTTGTGCATCCGCCAAACTAGCTGTATTGCTAACACCAAATGCATCAGAGGACTTGTCTGATCCGCTAATAAACCTTTATGTATAGAGACTAGGTTGTGCATGCCACTGGCTGCTGTTAATTTGCTAACTTACGTAGGCTGTCTCTTTTGGCCAAAACATTGCCTACAGAGTATGCTGGCCACAGCAACTATCAGGATGGATTTTTTTTTTTTTTTTACTTTATTTGTACTTATTTCTTCCTTTACCCAATCTTTATCTTACAGGGAATACATTTGCACTAAAATGTAAAAAAAAAAAAAAAAGCACTATTACTGGATTAACAGTGAACCTGAGGGGAAACCTGCAGACTTGTCAACAAGTTATCCAGAGTTTGTGCTTCATCTGCATTTCTTACCTGTTATGCTGTAGCCATATGCGGCCAACTGGCCCGCCATGTACTCTCCATCGGAGCTGTTATGTGAACAGCCCCATGTGCGTATCCAGATCTTCTGAATGCCAGGTATGGTGCTATATAAAGGAAAAGAATAAGTGAATTATGTACCATTCCATTAAACTGTATTTTATAATCAGATACCCATGACAGAGTAAAATGCATGCCTTATATATATTGCCTTATTGGAACACAATTTATGAATAGCGTGCTTTAACTACTTGCCCTTCTGAGGATTTACCCCCCTTCCTAACCAGGCCATTTTTTGCGTTATGGTGCTGCGTTACTTTACCTGACAATTGCACGGTCATGCAATGTTGAACCCAAATGAAATGTATGTCCTTTTTTTCCCTACGAATTGAGCTTTCTTTTGGTGGTATTTGATCGCCTGTGCGGTTTTTTTTTTTTTTGCAGGATTTAAAAAAAAAAAAAAAAAAAAGACCGGCAATTTTGAGAAAAAAAATATTTGTTACTTTTTGCCCAGTAAAAATGTTTTAAAATAATCAAATTTCGTCATAAAATTAGAACAAAATGTATTCTGCTACAATACATGTAAATGAATTGGTTTACGTGAAAGTTATAGCGTTTACAAACTGCGGTATAGATAACGGAATTTTTTGATTTTTACTAGTAATGACAGGACTGCGGCGGGGAACTGAGTTGGTGTCACTGACACCAACACAGTGATCAGTGCTATAAAAAAAAAAAAAAAAAAAAAAAAAAAAAGCACTGACACTGTACTAATGGCACTGGGCAAAAAGGGGTTAACATGAGGAGCGATCAAAGGGTTAACTGTGTGCTGTTTTACATCGGGCTGTGTCTGTGTGCTTCACTGTAAGTACACTGCTTTGCATGGCCATGCTGCGCACACTGTGCACGAGCTGACAGGGAGAACTGTTTTGTTTACAGTTCTCCTCGTCGGAGATGCTCGGCAATCACCAGGCGCCAGCGAGCAATCACCGTCCAGGACCCAATGAATGACAGCCAAGAATGATGGCGCGGGTCCCCCCCCTACCCGAAAATACAAAATCACATATATATATATATATATATATATATATATATATACACATACATACATATACATATATACACACACACACATACACACACACACGATTTTGCGCACCTGTGCTGCCTTGTAGCAGTATATCTGCTATAGGGCGGTCGGGAAGTGGTTAAAACAAACCTTCACCCTTCCTCACAATTTGGTAAAATAAAAAAAAAAGTGTGCTTTTTTTGTTACATTTATTGTTGCATAGGTGGGAATGACATTCATGTGGCCAACCCCCCCTCCCCCCTATATGCAGATGTACTGCAGGGCTTTGCATCCCCTGGTTTTCCCAACTATCTGTGCACAGAAGTTATGGAAGTTCTAAACACTTGCAGTCTTCGTATACATGCACAGATGTGCTAAAGGTCCGTGCCAGAACTCTTTAGAATACCTGCACATGCATCATAATGGCAGTAATGGAGACGGTGGGTTGAGGCACTACACAGGGGACTCAAGTTCCCCTTTAAACTATCCTAAAATCTAGTAACCTTATAAGCTAAAAATTGATCAACATCCCCGGCAACAAATAGCGGGGCCAGTAGGGCTCGCTCACGTGCGCCCCCTACACAGAAATGCGTAATGATGTGATCCTGCGCACAGGTGCCACCCTGTAGCAGTATATCTGCTATAGGGCAGTCCTTAAGTGGTTAAAGCAACAGAGTAAAAATGTTAAAAAACTGCCCCTACCCTTCGTGCTTGTGCTCAAAGGTAAATGCATGCGCAGGCCAGCACGCATTCAGCGATTGTCACACACGTTAGGAATTAATTTTTCCCTTGATGGCAAGGTGTCCAGGCCCAGAGGCAGTAAAGCATGCCCAAATCATGCGGTTCTCACCACCATACTTTACTGTTGGGATGAGGTTTTGATTATGGTAAGATGTGCCCTTTTTGAGCCATACATACTGCTGAGTTTTCTTCTGGAACAATTCAACTTTTAGGCTTCATGTACACAAGCCTACCCTACCGCCAACCGCGGAAAACCGCTGCAAAAACGTGGTATCGCTTTTGCCGTGGTTTTGCGCGTTTTCTCGCTTTTGGCAGTCAAAGCCTGAGGATTAATGTACACAAGCAGCTCCTAAAACGCAAGTTTAGGAGCTTTTGGCATTTTTTTGCCAAAGCTCCTAAATGCAACTCCATAAAAGCCTATGTGTCGATGTACACATAGGCTTTTAGCAGAGTTTAGGAGATGCCGTGTTTAGGTGAGGTTTAACCTCCCTCTCCTGAACGCGGAAGAATCACATTCAGGATAGGAACGTTTTGACCGCCCACCATGAGAAAACCGCAGCAACACCATGGTTTCTGCGGTTTCCCGTGGCCAGCGGTCAGGGTAGGCTCGTGTACATGGAGCCTTATTTTAACAGTCAACAAAACGGTCTCTATTTATAGACAATTTGCCAACTGATGGATGTCTAAACACTGAGACTGCTTGTATCCCTTTGCCAGCCTTATGGATACTCCTAATCATATGCCTTTAGAAAGCATGATTCATATCAGCTGATGTTTCTGATGAACAATCTTAAAATGCTTGAATGTCTCAAGGTAGCTCTAAACCATACCTACAAAATAATTTCATTAATTGGACTCCAGGTGTGCAAACTCCAATTGGCTTTCATTGAAGTAATTAGTCTATGAGTTCACTTACTTTTTCCTCCAGCACTGGAAATGAGTAGTAGGTGTGTTCAATAAAGACAAAATTTGAATGGTTTGTGATCATCATAAGCATATTGTGTTTGTCTATCAACTGTGACTTAGATGAGGATTAGATCACATTATATAGCAAATTACTTCAGAAAAGCAGTTCATTCCAAGGGAATAAAATTCCCTTTGAAAAAGTCAAACATTGATGAAACGTCAGGGGAGTGGTTGCCCTGCATGGACAGGCTAGTATGGATTGAGCTGTGTGTATGGCAGGTGTTGGGAGTGAGAGAGCAGCAACTCACATCCACATTGCTAACTGCTTGCTGGGAGGAAAGAAAAAACAGCACCACTGCTTATGGTTTTCTGGCTGTATTGTTTTTATTCTCATGTGAGTGCACCTTTTTCAAAAACCATTATTTTTTACAATATCACTTTTAATATCTTTAGGTAACATCTGTGCATACTTCTTGATCTCTGAGCATTGGGAAACATCAAGAAGGAAAGGGGAAACGCTGAGAGCCATTCATCCATTTTTGTGGTCATTCCTGTGCTGTTTTAGCCCAATTGATTTCATCTTGGGCATTTGCAGCCGGTGAGTGTGAGGCCATAAGTAGGTGGTGGGCTGCATCAGACTGGATTTTGTTCCCAGTAGTGAATAAGTTTGTTTGAAGTCTGCACATAAGGAGTTAAGAAACGTGGACTGTGCACAATCAAATGGTCACTGTTTTTCAGTTACATATTACTTTGTAGCTTTCAAATAAGCGGGAAAGAGACATTTCACATTTATGAACACTTTTTTAATTATAGTTATTTAGGAATACAGTTTTATTGTGGGGTAGCACCATATACAATAAGGATTAGCCTTATATTTATGGCCATCTAAGGGTATTTAGATGCAGCTGCTGCTTTTTTTTGTTTTGTTTTTTCTCTTTTTGGATTTTTATCACCCTGTATGATTGTATTTTACCCATCTATGGTTTAAGGGACTGTAAAGCCTTTTTTATAAAATTGATTTTAACTTGTTGCCGACCGCGGATAGCCGAATGACGGCTGCACTGCGGCCGGCCAGTTCTGAGTGGACGTCATATGACGTCCCCCCAGAACGCGCTCTCCTGCACGCCCCAGGGGGCGCGCACCCGGCGATCTCTGTGATCGCTGTGTCCTACGGACACAGCTGATCACGTGATGTGGTAAAAGGCCAATCACAGTGGCCTTTAACCACCTGATCAGCGGTGTCCAATGACACGCTGATCAGAGGGAAATGCAAGTGCCGGTTCTCGGCTGCACTTTCCTCACGCTGTCAGATCGTGAGGAAAGTACTGCAGAGAACCGGCAGTTGTCAGAGCGGGGATCGGCACCGATCATCAGGGCACTGATGATCAGTGCCCTGATGATCGGTGCCCAGCAGTGCCACCCGCAAGTTCCATCCACCTGTGCCCAGCAGTGCGCCCACTAGCTCCGCCCACCTGTGCCCAGCAGATCACCCACCTGTGCCACTCTGCAATGTCACACACCTGTGCCCAGAAGTGCCACCTACCTGTGCTCAGCAGTGCCACCCACCTGTGTCCACCCACTTGTGCCCACCAGTGCCACCCACCTGTGCCCACCCACCAGTGCCACCCACCAGTGCAGCCCAGCAGTGCTGCCAGTCAGTGCCCAGCGGTTGTGCCAGTCAGTGCCGCCAGTCAGTGCCCAGCAGTGATGCCAGTCAGTGCAGTCTATCAGTACCCATCATCAGTGTCACCTATCAGTGCCGCCTATCAGTGCTGCATATTAGTGCCGCCTATCCGTGACACCTCATTAGTGCTGTCTATCAGTGCCCTTTAGTGCTGCCTATCAGTGCCTATCAGTGCCCATCAGTGCTGCCTCATCAACGCACATCAGTGAAGGAGAAAAATTACCTGTTTGAAAAATTTTATAATAGAAACAAAGAAACTTTTTTTTTTTTTTTCCAATTTTTGGCAATTTTTTATTTATAAACGCAAAAAGTAAAGTGCCCAGTGGCGATTAAATACCACCAAAAGAAAGCTCTATTTGTGAGAAAAAAATGATCAAAATTTCATATGGGTACAATGTTGCATGACCGCGCAATTGACAATCAAAGTGCGGCAGCGCTGAAAGCTGAAAATTGGCCTGGTAAATAAGGGGGTATAAGTGCCTGGTAGGCAAGTGGTTAATAAACATGTTATACTTGCCTGCTCTGTGCAATGGTTTTGTACAAGGCAGCCTAGAACCTCCTGTTCTGGGGTCGCTCCTGCCTCCTCCACCTACTGAGTGCTTCCACAGGAAGGCAAGCGAGGCTGTATGCATCTATTCAGACATACAGTGCTCAGAGGTTTTGGCTGAGAGCAGCAGAGGTTAAACGGCTCCGCCAAGCCTGGCAGAGAGGGGAGAAGAGCAACAGCAAACATGCACAGCGCTGAATCAGGATCGGGCTCAAGTAAATATTTAGGGAGCTGCAGGGGAGCGACTATTAAAAGGTTTTTTACCTTAATGCAGAGATGTGAATGGGCCCTTAGAGCCAAGATCAGCCAGCTGCAGTGTCACATGGATGGTGCAGTAGAGGTAAGTATGAAGGTTTGATGATTTTTTTTTTTCCACTAACCCCATTATTCATCTTTTCCTTATAACTTGACCTAGCTACGGTTTATTAAGTTAATAAAAAAGTTATGCCACGTGCTTAATTCAGCCTAGTACTGACTTTGTGATGCAGTATCTTACACTTTCATCGTTCGAGGTCTCAGTTCTAACATTCAACACTAGACAGTTTTAATTCCTTACAAACAATATCCCTTCATTCTCCAGGCAATTCTCCTCCATGTGGAAAAACTTGTCTGACACTGACAGATATTGCTTAAAAGAGAAGTACGGCCAAAGCTTGTTTGGTTGTAGTTCAGTTCATTCTGCACTCCTGTGACCCAGTTAAAGCCCTCTGTCGGCTGATGTCACAGAGCCATCCAGGCTGGGGAAGGATCACGACCATGTGGTTGGGATTCACCCAGAAGCCTGAACTGCCACCTGGTTCAGCCTCTCGGCAAGCCAGGGCAGAGCAGAAAACCACTCTCTGCTCAGAGTAGCGAGGAGAACCGAGTGATCAGCGGTGTCCGATTGCTCAGTTCCCACCCTTAGCGTTGGCGGGGGACAGATGCAGCATCACATCACAGTACGACAAAGAAAAAAAAAAATAAAAATAACATACTTCTCTTTAAAGTGTGACTTCATTCCTAGATTGTAAGCTCCAAGGAGCAGGGCCCTCCTATCCCTCTTGAACTGTATCGTTGCTGTATTGTCTCCCTTTATATTGTAAAGCGCTGAGCAAACTATTGGCGCTATATAAATCCTGTATAATAATAATTCTTTAAGAGCAGACATAACTCTATCCTTTCACCTTGTCAACCAGCAGTTCCTGGCTATCATTTAGTCTTTAAGACCACATTTTGTATATTCAACGGTGTGAGTTTGCAGAGCCTTTTAATTTATTGCTCATTAAAATGACTGATGATGATATTACAGTCACGTTGTTTATACCAGGTTAAAACACTTTTGCATGTTGTTCGCTTTATGACACTACAGAAACGTGCTTTACCTGTGTAGCTCTGGTGGAGTAAGGTATAAATTACTAAGTGGCCCCCATGCTCCCCTACAAAACATTCCAGAATACTACATAATGTACATAACAGCATATATTTAGCTAAATGTATACCAAGTGCTACCTGTAAAGGTCACGGTTGTTTTTGGGAAGACCGTTTTCTCTTGAGATGCTTAGAAGGGCTTTAGGAAGAAAGTCAGATTTTTAAGAGAAGACTAACATAACTATAGAATTTGGGATGGATTCTTCATTGGTGAAGTTTACAAAACTCCATCTCAGGATATCTATATCCTCTATGGTTCACTCTACCTTGTCTCTGTTACCAAAAACCTAGCCACTGAATAGTCCTAAAAACATAGACAAAATATTTAAAGCTGTCTAGAATTCATTGTACAACAGTAAATTCTCTATTAATTCACAGATGCTTAACATGGATGTTTAAATATATAAAAAGATTTTCCTATCCCACCGGATGAAGTGCCATGTAATTCAATTTTTGCCATAAAATTTTGCCCTTAATGGAAAAGTCTAGCCAAAACATGTGATACCCCTTTTTTTATCTTCTTAACCACTTGAAGATCAAGCCTTTTCTGACACTGATTTACATGTGACAAATCAGTATTTTTCAAATCAAAAATGTTTAGAACTCCTAAACATTATACACTTTTTTTTTTTTTTTTTTTTTTTTTTTTTTTTTTAAACAGGCCCTAGAGAATAAATTGATGGGTTTTGCAATCTTTTGTGTCTCACGAGATTTGCACAGCGGTTTTTCAAATGCAATTTTTTTGGGAAAAAATATGTTTTTTTGAATTGTAATATGTTCTTAAAAGGTGAACTTATCCATACATGTTCCACCCACTTTTGGGGTGGAACATGTAACATGTTCCCAATGCTGAAGCCACTGCCTCCCTGTGACAGAAATACGGGGAAAAGCTCCCAGTACAGTCACTTTTTAAAACAGCACAACCACACGGCCAAGTTATTTATTCACAGTGTTCTGTAAGTGAATGAAGTAAAAGTCCTGAAAGCTTTAGCGGATGTCGGCCTGTAATTCTCAATGAACTGCCACGGTGCAAGCAGATATACTGACAGGTCTGCAGGACCTGCACAGCACAAGTGATGTGCTGATTGCTGGTGCAATGCTTTACAGGCTCCTGCAATCAAAAATAATAAATGCCCATTTTTTTATCTGCAAAAAAAAAAAAAAAAAAAAAAAATGTGCATTTTTTTTGGTCAAAAGGTGAACCTATCCTTTAATGCAAAATACAAAACATAACCCAATTTTTTGGTAAAATATAAAAGGATGATGTTACACCGAGTAAATAGATACCAAACATGTCACACTTTAAAACTGTGCAAGCCCGTGCAACAGCAACAAATTAAATTTTACTATCCATAGGCGATACTTTAAAAGCCTTTACAGGTTACCACTTTAGATTTACAGGAGGCGATCTTGTGTTAGAATTATTGCCTGGTGTTCACAGTGATCCTTCACATGTATGGGACAATCGCCGTTTGTGTGCAACAACCTTTGCACACAAGCAAGGGGAGCACTTTAATAATTTTTTTTTTTACACTGTTGCTTTAGAAAAAAAAAAATGTTTTTTTGATCACTTTTATTCCTGTCACAAGGAATGTAAACCTCCCTTGGGACAGCAATAGGCATGTGACAAGCAGTGTTAACTTTTACATCAAATTTTGATTTAGTTTTAGTTATAGTTTAGTCATTTGAATTGTTTTAGTTATATGTTCGACTAAAAATCTCCACTACATTTTTGTCGACTATAATCGAATGCATTTCGTTAAATTGTAAAGCATTATTTAAGCATTTCCCTGCAAATTTACAGACTCAATATATACTCCTGAAGAAAAAAAATAAATAAATAAATAAAATGGCATGTTATTATTTATGGTAATAAGGTTTGAAAATGCACTACAGACACAGATTTTGCCGTTGTGATATATAACCAGTATTCATTTTGATGTCAAATAGTTTAATATTAGTCACAGTCTTTTAATTAAAATAGCATTTTGGTTTTAGTTGTATTTTAGTCATCTGAATTATTTTAGTCGTATATTAGTCAACTAAAATAGTGTTATTTGACGAAAATATTTTAGTCAACAAAAACACCACTAGTGACAGGTACTCTTTATGGAGAGATTTGGGGTCAATAAGACCCCCAATCCCTCCTCTGCTCTTAAAAGCATTCAAATCACATCAAAATCTTTTCTTTAAAAATGGCACCGTTTATATTGGAAGTGATGTAAGCTCATTGCTGCCAGGTTACTATATCACTGAGCCAAACAGAGTCTTTGTTTGGCTCTGTATCAGCCAGTAAAGCTGCAGAAGGTGGTGGGGGGGGGGGGGGGGGGGTGTTTGTGGGGTGGCAGGGGAGTCTCCTCCTGTTTGTAATAGCAATCGGGTGGCTAGTTAGCCTCTCCAATTGCGATTACAAGAAAGCCGACCACTGGTTCTAAAAAACCTGTACCTGAATGATGCCTGCAGCTGCAGATAGGTTTCAGTATGTTAAGAACAGCATTGTGTGGGCCCATACCATTGGCTGCATGATTTTATTGATACTTTTGCTGTAGATAGCTTTCCATGATTTTGATTCTGTTTGGGATCCATGTCATAATGCAGAATGAAGATGAAATTGATGAAACCCTGATGCTGTTGCTTGATGCGTAAGAATCTGCCTGTACAACAATGAGGGTGCCATCAAAATGCAAAAAAAATGCTTTTTTTTTTTGTTTTTGTTTTTTTTTTGTGGGGGGGTTATGGCTGTGTTAACTTTCTGTTTAGGTCTTTTTCTCACCCATATTTTCAACCAGTGATCCAGCCAGTAAAGTTAGATGTATAAAAATTTGGTGGGTTCAGCAGGGAGTGGCTGAATTTCGATTCATCTATGGTCATTTCTGTTCTGGAAGAGAAAATCTAATGATCGACTCCTCTCAAACCAGACTGTTGGTAAATTTTCAGTCAGCTGCCGCACTAGTCAGTGTATTCTGACAGAGGAGTCCCTGCGGTCAGAATAAAGTAGTGCAGCACAGAGGATTCCTACGTCCACTACACTTATGTGAATGAGTGAATCTGTTGACTTCTACAGAACTTCATCTGGATAGAGGTTATCAGCCA